TGGGGGTTCCTGATGATTATTTTCGCATGACGGGCCCCAAAACCCCAGTCTAATTCTTAAGGCCCCTGTATTGCCCCTACGGCTCCGGTTACCTAGATAATGGACTAGTGGGCTATCCTTTATATGAACCTGCTATTTAGGTAACTGGAGCCCTAGGAATAGATGGCTGGATGGGTGGATGGATGGACGGCTAGGTAGATGCGGGGATGATCAGACAGAGACAGCCAGGCAGACAGGCAGACAGAGACAGACAGAGACACAGATAGACAGATGGATAGATAGATGGAAGGTTAGGAATGGGGATCTCTTGACGTTAACCTTGTTGCTTAGGGTTTGGGGCCCATCGTATACACAGGAACAGTCGCAGTATCTATCACAGCGACGGTTGTTGGTTCGATGCACGGTTACCGGCTGATTCTGTTTGTGTTAGTTGTTCACAGGTGTTGGCATTGGACATCATCAGACCCAACTCAGCTTTTCGGTAGTTGCCGTTGACGGTCCAGGTCTTAGGCTTGGGGTTCATTCTATGGGGCCTGAAGAACTAGAATTGGGCTTTGGGCCCCTATATAGTATATTGATAGTAAGGATTCCGACGGTCCTACGGAATGATATCAGAACTTATCTCGGCTTCCATACTACTTACGGCTTACCCTTTGGCTGGGATTGGCTCTGTAGCTGGAGGCTGTGCACAATAAGGTCGCGAGTAAAACCTGCGGCGAGAAGCCTAAGCCCTAAACCAACATAAACGGTAGTCTCTGTAAGCAGACCCCTATGAAACGCTAAACCTAATCCCTGACCCTTTAGCACGAAACCTTTAACACGAAACCCTAAACTCTCATCCCCAAGCCCCAAAGATGCTGAAGCCCAGCGACAGATCCCAGCCGCAATGCATCTGATGCCGCGGTCCGATGCCCAGCCCCACACAGCAACACGAACACACAAACACACACACACACACACACACACACACACACACACACACACACACACACACACACACACACACACACACACACACACACACACACACACACACACACACACACACACACACACACACACACACACACACACACACACACACACACACACACACACACACACACACACACACACACACGCACACACACACACACACACAGAGACACATGCAACACCTGCAGTCGCAGCAAGTAACTGTGTAACTGCGCGAACAGTTGACTGTGCAGTTACAGCCGTTCCACGGTAACCTAAACCCACCGCACAGCCTGACAGGTCCGCAGACTTGGCTACTCCATCAGAGAAGTATTGGAGATGAAAGGCGCCTGATTGGTTCGATTGATCGGCACTAATTGCTTCTCCTGGGAGCCGTACGGGAGTTTATCTCATACAGGGGTTGGCACATGCAGCACAAACAAACACATGTGAGCATTGGCTGGCTCGAGACAGTAAGGATTTTCACCGATCTTTGAATCTTCTGCCCGCCATGGGGATTACCGGCTTGCACTTCCTGGACTTCTGCATCGCTCGTTTCCAAGACCTGGCTGTCTGGCTGGAACCTGGGTCTGTTGGGGGGATCCCCCTTACAGGTTCCTGTAAGGGCCCTTTGCGGGGCTACTACAAGGGTTATACCTAAAGGGTTCGGGGTCCAGTGCTAGGGTCGAAATTTGGGATTCAGGATTGTGTCTCGAGTTTGAGCTAGCTAGGTTTAGGGTCAAGTTTAGGGCTTGCAACTGTAATTAGAAGCTTTTATTCTTAGACACACTATCCCTTGGGGTTCTAGTTTGGCAGCAAGTATGCTACAGTATGTCCCCGAACCCTGCTTGTTCGAGCTACTAAGGCTTGCCGTGTTGCGAACACGAGATTGCCTGAGCCCACAAAAGCCTAGCTTCTGTCAGCAATACATTGGGAAACTCCTGCAAGGGTAAGTTTTTCGGATTCAAGCAGGCTCTTGGGGTTCATCTTGCCACAGTCGTATTCATTTCAGCAATAGCCCAGGAAGAAGCCAACACCGCTCTCCCCAACCATGTGATGACCGGCTTCACCGTCAGCTACGCCGTGGCCTTGCTGCTCTTCTTCCCAACGCTCTATGCTGTGTTGAGGATGGTCTGGGTCTTGGCGGAGGAGGGTCCTGCCCGGAAGTGCATGACCACTTTCTTCATTCTGAGCCTTTCCCTTCCGCTCTACCCCGTGCTTGCGGCTCTCTTGCTGGTCTTAATCTGGCTGATTCTGGGCTTTGCAGTGCTCATCCTGTCAACTTTTGGACCGGCGGCCTTGGGTCTCTTTGCGCTCATGCAGCTGTGGGAAGTCATGGACAACGTGGTCACGGAGGAGAGGGACAAGACCTCCCAGATGCGAAGGCGCAACAGCGCAGTGGAAGACATCACCTGCTGGGAGCTTCTTTGTGGTTTGCTGATTGGCATCGTAAGCTGCTGCAGCTTCGGCTTGCTAGCTTTTGCGTTGACGATCCTGAAGTCACCGCTGGTGATTCTTTCCGTTGTGCTCCGCTTTGTCTATGAGTCTCTGTGCCTTTGGCTGGTCCTGGTCCACTGTGGTTGCCGACCTTTCTGTCGTTGCTGTGCTACCTCCGCAGTCGTGCCAGTGGGGGAAAGCCGGGAACCTCGATCCGTTTCGGAGCTCCGCTCCGAGGGTTACTCTGCGAAGGATCTGAAGGACCTGGGTGCGCGTGTCGGTGATCTCTACCATGCCGGCTTCACAATCTTCGAGCTCCGCGAAGACGCAGAGTTCGGCATGGCAGACTTCTATGCGGCAGGCTTAATGGCAGAGGCGGACTGGCACGAGCATGGGGGCAGCTGGTGGTGGTGGTGGTTCCCCCTCATCTTCCTGACATGGCTGGGTGCAGTGGTTTGCCTTGTAATTGCCATGTTGCTGGTGGTGGTTTTGGTAGCCCTGTCGAAGCTGATTTTGGCAGTTGTCTGGCCCGCCTACATCTCTGCAGGTTGGTTGCGCATCCTGGCGCAAGCTCGACGAAGGCAAAGCGCGAGGACTTGCTGCGAGCCTTTGGTGCAAGGTTTGAAAGCTGGCTATCAGGTTGTATGGGCTGGGTCCATGTTGACCAACGTCTGCATGCTGAACAAAACGCTCAAGGCAAAGGCAACACTCGTGGGTCAAACGGTGGAGGAGTGCTTCGAATTTGCCAGGGGAGACCGGACCGAGTTGTCGCCGGTTCTTCAAAGCCTGTCCATCTTCCCTCCCGTGGTGGTTGGACTCTTCACAGCCTCCTGGGACGCAGTATAGTAACGTTCAAGTACCTTGCCATGGTAACCTTACATAATTAATTCATCTCACCATAGTCGTCTTATGTCCGTTGTTATCCTTTGTTCGTTCATTCAGCCTAGCAGAGGACTCCTGGGACCTGCGGCTGCGCAGCCTCGCCCGACAGCTTGGAGTGTCGGAAGATGTCATCCAAGAAGCCTGGCGTGGCTTGGGACGCCAGATGATCCGCTTGGGCCGAGAAGCCCTAGAATCGGGACTCCTGACGGAGGACTTCTGAGACCATAAGGTTCCGACGACAAGGTTACGGTAGTACTAAAAAGTTACGTACTATAGGAACCGTAAGTAAGACGTGAAATAAGTTGATAAGGTTTAAGGTTTCTATGACAGAGGACTTCGTGGATGCCATTCCAGGAGAGCTGTGCATCGGTCTGCCGGCAAGAGCCATGTTAGAGGCCGTGGAGCGCTCGCCCAGGGGGGAGCTGCTGCTAGTGGGAGGCTTGAGGATACTGGAGCATCAGATCCCGGCGCTGAGGTTTGCAGAGAAGGTTTGGGGCCATTTCCGGCAAGCTCAAGATGCACGGATGCGGGTCCAAATAGGTGCAGATGTGCATCGGCTGCTGTGCGCTGCCCTCTTGGCTGGTGGTGGAGATCGAGATGCTCTTCCTGCAGGTTTGGCAGAGGCAATGAGGAGATATGAGGAGCTGCCGAAACCAGCCTATGACGCTTGCCAAGAGATTGTTCGGCCGCTGATCGCTTTTGGCTTGGAGTGTGGTAGCCAACGAGCGTTTAAGGAAAAGTTGGAACTGGTGATCCAATCGATGACACAAGTGGATTCGGAAGAGCTGGGTCAGTACCTGTACGCTGTGCCCTACGCGGCCGATGACTTAGAGGCAGCCGGATCGGAATCGTCGGAAGGTACCGACGGCGCCTAGCATCTCGAGGTGCTCCGCGGTCTCTCTGCCTCTGTTGGCATGTTGTCCTCAGCTGGGGCGTCGCGCTTCGGAGACAAACTTGGCAGCAGTGCAGCAATCCCAGGCAGTTTGCTTCATTGTACAGCAGCATGTTTTCCTTCCGATCCTGTCTTTGCTCTAAGTGTCCTGAGTCTTCTTTCGAATGTTTTTTGTCGAGATGGGTTAATATAGTGCAGCTTACTCAACGTGTAGGTGTAGGCTTGGCAAGTAGTGCATGCCTTTTCCCTGCAATACAGCGTGAACTATATACTACACCGGGCTCTTAAACCCGTAGTTGTACGGTGTTGTTCTGACGAGCCGGGATTCACCCATGTACCCCATGCCTCAAAGGTTCTGAGGTTCTCATTAAACTCTTTACCCTGAGAAAACCGGACGGCCCCGAACCCTGAATCCGAAAGCCTTAAACCCTAAGCACATAAACGCCCTACACCCCAAAGCGTTACTCGAGAACTCCAAAGCGCCTTGAATCCATCGGTCAGGGCCAAAGCTCCGAAACCCCAATGTAGGGGCCGTATTAATGAAATAGTATCAGATACCCAAAACCCTACTCTAATCCTTGCGGCCCCTACATTACACCAAAAGCTCGTCAAACAGATGCCCAGCTTTCGCTTCCAAAGACTCGCCCAGTGTTGCTCCGAATAAGGGCTGAGCGCCTTGTGGGGAGTAGGACTGGGCCTTAAACCCTAAACCTTAAACATCAAAACCCTAAGCCCCCAAGGGTTTTAGTTTTGGTCGAAGACTGGCTGAATCCGTTGCTGAGATACATCTGTTGAATCACCGCCCAAAAATAGGTCCAACAGACTTACGCCAGGCATGTTCTACATGGGCCGCGTGCGGAGGTCACTACGAGCAGCTTTCCACCGAAAGCACCCAGGCGCTCCTTCTGCTTGTTTGTGCATACAACAGGTCCCCTTTTGGGGGGGACTGGGGCTTTCCAGGTTTCATGAAGGCCGCAGTGTTTTTCTTAGGAGTGGTCAAGGGTGGTTTGTCCGTTAGGAGTTTCTGAGGGCAGGGGTTCAGGGTTCAGGGTGGTCTTGCGATGTAATCATGGGGGTCCAAGTTCAACTTCCCAAGCACCCCGGATGTGTCCCGCATGTGTCAGTGTGTGCTTTGAACTGTGAAACCCTACTCAAACCACTAAGCACCCTAAACCCCGGTTTACTAAGCCCCTAAACCCGGACCCTAAACCCCGTATCATCTTGGGGGCCTAAAAGGGGCCCTAATTCAGAGAACTACCGATATAGCCCAAAAACTCGCTATTCTCCTTCGCACTCCTGAAGGTTGTTTTAGGGTTCCTTGAGGTTTGAGGTTCTTTAGTACCCTTCCCTCCTTAGAACCCATCAAGGACCTTATGATTACCCTTAAACGGAGGGTCGGACAAGGGTCAGAATACTTAAGGCTTTAGTCCTTGAAGTCCCCGCTGTAATGTTGGAAGACTCCAGATTCTTTAAGGTTTATTCTCCCTTAGGGTTGAGGGTTTAGGAAGACTCCAGATACTTTAAAGCTCCTTCTCCCCTGCAGTAAAGCCCAAACCCAATCCTTAACGCAAGCCCCAAATCCCCTTAACTGTGAGGTGAGTGCATGCCAGCTGCTCCTCTTCGGGCTTTGGGCTACACCTCTGCCGGTGGCTCTTTCGCCAAGATCGGTGGCGACAATAAGCCCATGAGCTCATTAATGAAGAGCCTCGGACCACATCAGGGTCCGGAGGTAGTTAGGGTGGAATTCAGGGGTGCAGTGCGAGTCTATCTTTTTGGTTGGACGTTGGGATTGCGGTTGAGAGGTGGCAACGAACTGCTGCTAGCTGGTGCCTAGGAGCTGCTTCGATTAATGTAGGGGTTTCAATATTCTGCCAAGTGCGTGCAATGTGGTGCTAGCATGCCCTCATAATCCCTGCCTGCCAGACCATACCAGAACACCATGCCATGCCGTGCTAATTAGTATGATACGACACCGCAACGTACGGTATTGTACTACACTATACATGCTCCATACTATGCTATGCTATACCATACTACACTTACGTATTGTTTGGGCAAGATATCAGAGTTCTTAACGGCCTCAAGATAGGTTATTGTTCGCAGGGCAACCAAAGCCATGCTCATCTCGCGTGACGCATAGAATCCTGCAACCTGGGTCCTTCGTTTTTGAGTAAGTATAGTCAATTCGAAACCCAGTTGTAGGATTTTTTTCGGGTTTCGGACTTGTTTTGGCGTTTGGGATTTAGGGTTTAATATGTAGGCACAGTTAACCAGATGGTTGGTGTTTGTGTTGAGCTTTTCGGATTCTAGGGCGCCTTCCCCAGGATCGGCTATGCTACTGGCACTGGCAACGTTTACTGCAACAAGATTGTGCTCCCCGGCTGTATCTGAAGCAGGTGCTGTGGGGTGCGAGCGCATATGTGCGTGCGCGTGTGGGGTGTGTGTGTGTGTGTGTGTGTGTGTGTGTGTGTGTGTGCGCGCGGGTGTGTGTGTGTGTGTGTGTGTGTCTGTGTCTGTGTCTGTGTCTGTGTCTGTGTGTGTGTGTGTGTGTTTGTGTGTGTGTGTGTTGGTTGTGTGTTGGTTGTGTGTGTGTATGTTGTGTGTGTGTGTGTTGTGTGTGTGTGTGTGTTGTGTGTGTGTTGTGTGCGTGTGTTGTGTGTGTGTGTGTGTTGTTTTGTGTGTGTGTGTTGTGTGTGTGTGTTGTGTGTGTGTGTGTGTTGTGTGTGTGTGTGGTGTATGTGCGTGGTGGGTGTGTGTGTGTGTGTGTGTGTGTGTGTGTGTGTGTGTGTGGTGTGTGTGTGTGTGCGTGGTGGGTGTGTGTGTGTGTGTGTGTGTGGTGTGTGTGTGTGTGTGTGTGTGTGTGTGCGTGGTGTGTGTGTGTGTGGTGTGTGTGTGTGTGTGCGACACCCTGATAGCAAAGGGAATACAACTCGCAGGGGGGCAATCTGCCCAGTCAGAGTGATTGCCCAACGAAGAGGCTCTGACTCGGCACTGAAATCAGTCCGGGACGCTGGACTGACGTACCTGCAAGTGATTATGGCAAGGGCCAAGCCAAGAACCCCGATAAGATTCCTGAAGTAACAATCTAGCTACTCCCACCATGGAGTTTGCAAGTGAGTGTGTGTGTGTGTGTGTGCGTGTGTGTGTGTGCGCGTGTGTGTGTGTGTGTGTGTGTGTGCGTGTGTGTGTGTGTGTGTGTGTGCGTGTGTGGTGCGTGTGTGGTGCATGTGTGGTGCGTGTGTTGTGCGTGTGTGGTGTGTGTGTGTGTGGTGTGTGTGGTGTGTGTGGTGTGTGTGGTGTGTGTGGTGTGTGTGGTGTGTGTGGTGTGTGTGGTGTGTGTGGTGTGGTGTGTGTGTGGTGTGTGTGTGTGCGGTGTGTGTGGTGTGATGTGTGTGTGTGTGTGTGTGTTGTGTGTTGTGTGTTGTGTGTTGTGTGTTGTGTGTGTGGTGTGTGTGGTGTGTGTGGTGTGTGTGGTGTGTGTGGTGTGTGTGTGTGTGTTTGTGTGTGTTTGTGTGTGTGTGTGTTTGTGTGTGTTTGTGTGTGTTTGTGTGTGTGTTTGTGTGTGTGTGTTTGTGTGTGTGTGTGTGTTTGTGTGCGTGTGTGTTTTTGTGTGCGTGTGGGTCTCTGTGCCTGGCTCTGGCTCTGCCTGAAGAACAGAAATGTGAGCAAGCAAATGAGCTTTCATGCGGCATGCGGGCTGCAAGTAGTATAGCGGCATTAGCTTTACTCATATCCCCAAAAAGAGCCCGGCTCACCCGAGCACTCGTAAGGCTGATGGACGAAGCGCACAATCTGGTCCGCAGCCAGACACAGCAACTGGGACTGAGAGTGACCCCACCCCCTAAGCTGCCTCTTGCAAACCTTCTGACCCTGGTATCTTTGCACTTGAAGTGGCCACTGACTGCATCCTTTCTTCAATCTTTAGCCTCCTCATCCACCGAGACTCCCTGGGCAGTCGTCGGTTTAAGGGCAACGGGCTTGAACTAAACAAGCTTTCATCGATTGAAGTCTTATTACACACTAAACTCCGAAGCCCTAGACTCTAGACTGAACGCCAGGTGCGTCATGCTGCAAGTCGGATTGCATTGCTATGAGTTCTCATTTCTTTTTTCAATTTTCAAATGACCTTCCAACCAAGAAATTTTCTGCGTAAGAATGATGACTTGTGCGATTTGATTGGCGTAGGGCTAGGGGGCTTCAGGCTTTCGGCTTCAGCCGGTTTAGGGCTTGGGTTCGAATGTAGGATGTTTAACGTCTTGGTCTTCTCTGTAACGTCGACTCACGTTTTAGGATGTACTACGGCTGGTTTAGAGTGTTTGTGGCTGCTTTCCTGAACATTTACCTCCTTATCGTTTTTAAAGTGAAACACTATTCCCCGGAACCCGAGGCCCCTAAATGAGCTCCGTTCGGACAAGATCTGTGGCTTCGGCATGTCGCGTTGTCAGTCAAACCTCTGCCAAAAGCCCAAGAGCACAGCACCTCGAATCTCGCAGCACCTTCCATAAACCCAAAACCTTAATTCCCCTGAACCTCCCCTAAACCTCCTCCCTGTATTGCTGGATGTTCTCCAATGTGCTGAGATACTAGGCTAATATTCCTGTCGCTAACATTTAGATGAAACTGCTTGACTGATGTAGACCCGTGCCTAATAAACCTTTAGGCCATGTTCACCTGCAGCATCAATGAAGGTGTATAATAGAGACATCATACCGCCAGTCCCCTTGACAAAGTACCCACAAAAGCACCCTGACACCCTCATTCACCACTATAAACCACAGACTCTGATCTCTCTAAAGTCCTCAGCGTACAATGAAATGTGGAAGCCCAGGTACGCGGAGCAGTTGCAGCGCTTGCGGCGATTGCTCTACGAGGCCTCGCCTTTTCTGGGGACCTGCTGTTGAGGGTTTAGGATTTAGGGTTCAGGATTTAGGGTTTTGGGTTCAGGATTTGTGGTTTAGGGTTTCGGGGAGTTGTTTGGTTTGGGTCTCGGGCTTTGAGGTTCCGGAGGGTTCAATGGCATTTTCTAGAAGACATGTATACAGTATACACCCACCCCGACATGAAGCCTTCAGAGCGGCCAGTGTAATCCTATGACATCAAAACAACCTCCACACTGCACCCCCTCAAAAACCCGTATTCATGAACCCATGTCACACCCCGAAATTCAGAAAACATCCTCCAGTGCAGGCCCGTAGCTTGGTCTTGGCGGGCTTCACCGGCACACCGATCCTCTCGGAGCCCAGCGAGGGGCGGCAGCTCCTAAGCGTCAACTCTTGTTCATATATAGGATATAGCATACTATGTAGTATAATATAACTTGACAAAGCAATCCCGGTTCTCGGTTCACCGACCCCCCCCCCCCCAGCGGGTATCCCCCCCCCACGCTCCCCAAGCCGAATCTGTGCGTGACTGTGTAAGCTTTTCCCACACGAGGGCTCACACGCCAAGCAGACCCACGCAGGAAACCCAAACCACACCACACCACAGGGGGGAGTGTGGTAACCAGCCTAAGCAGACCCACTCCCGAACCACACCACACCACACCACACGGAGGGGGAAGCAACCCACAACCACACCACACTACAGGGGGGGGAGGAGGAACCATTGGGGGGGGGAGGGGGGGGGCCGGCCGAACCGGGATCATTTATGCATGTTATATGCATTTGTATGATTCTGCGCCCGCCTCTGGCTTGCAGGTTGCAGAGAACCGAGAGGGGGGGGCAGGGCGGTGGAGAAATGCGCAGCGTTTGGCGCTTAAACCCCAGCCGGCTTACCACGGACACTGACGAATTCTTGAAGAGTCCCATGTACAGATATTTCAAGAACCTCGAACAAGTCGTTCGAACGTCTGAACTGCCCAAGGATCCTGAAAACTGAGCCCAACTCTGAAAGCCCGATCCTTACGACCCCAGAGCCGATGAGACGGTAAACATTCAAACTCAAAAACGATCACTTTAGAATCAATAGCATCGTAGTTCCTTTTGGGGGGCTACAATTTTTAGGATCTTGATTTTGACATTTGTTAAACGTAAAAAGCCACTACAATGGAGGTCGTAGAGCTAAGTTCCAAAGCCGTTGGACGACCTACACACACACACACACAAAAAAAAAAAGAACACGAACAAATCTATCCTTGAGGCTCCTGGACATCATCAAGGGCGTCATGGCGCCTGATGGAGACGAAGGATATCTCTCCTCCTTTCCCATGCATCTCGAATATACCTCTTTCCTATGTTGTTGTGCGAAGGTGAGAGGTCAAGCACAGGTTCCCGGGTTCAGGGTTACGCGTTCCGGTGTGGTTGCCTCCCGAGGCTTTGGGTTTTCGTATTTGAACTTCCGTTTTCGTTTGGGGCCTGCGGATTCAGGATGTCGGAGATTGCTGGATACCTGGCAGCGTTCATCCGCTGTTCCAGGTTTTCGCGTGAGGAGGAACCCCTCGACCCTACTATATTTGTCCGTACAAAAACTTCCTAAACCTTAGACCTTAGACCCCGAAGTGAGCCACCCCCAAGTTCCAAAACAAACCTCAGCTGCCCTGAATGCTGGGCATCCAAAAATTGCTTTCTGGCAACCGGTTTAGGGGTTCAGGGGTATCACGGGTCCAGGGGTTTAGGGTTCGAGGGTTCTGGGTTTAGGGGTCAGGGGATCGACTCCCAGAATCTGGGGGCTTGAGGGTTTGAAGGGTCAGCGTTAGGGTTCAGAACCCTGGAACCCTACGAAATACTGACTTCCTGTACCCATAACTCTGAAACCAAAACCTTAAAACCTAATCCCTACCTGAACCCGAAATGTCCCATAGATGTTTGCTTGAAAGTCAGGGGGAAGGCCAGGTTATTAGAGTCCAGGTACACCCTGGACCAAGCATGCTACATCTTAGAAAACGCTTGAGATGGGGGAGCAGTGGAGACTTCGAAGCCGTGGGCGCATTCAGCAAGTATGAGAGAGACACAGAGAGAGAGAGAGAGACAGAGACAGAGAGAGTTTTAGCTCTTAGGGTTCAGCATCGCGATCCAAACGCTAATCATGCTTAACACATAAGTTGGCACTTGTTGATTTCATTGGTGGGTTTAGGGTTGACGCTTTAGCGTTCAAAGTTGCTACATCTTCGAACAGTCATTGCACAACATCAAATAGAAAAACAAGACGAGGCGGCCGCAGCCGCTGTTTCCCGTGTCGCTCCCCCGGGGACTGCCTGACGGCGTCCTGACGCTGGCGCGACGGCGGCAGCTGATTCGGAAGGCCCCTGCTTGCCAAAAAGTGGGAGTTAGCGCCCATGGTTCTAGGATTAGGGTACTTTGGGGTTGAGAAGTAGGGTTTGGGGATGTTTGGATTCGGGCCTGGGGGCTTTCGGCTTCAAGGCGTCAGGTGACCCAGTCTCCAAAACCGAAACGGAGAAGAGCCAACCAGACCTGACCCTAAACCCCAAACCAACCCTAAACCTCAAAACCCCTAGGCCTCAAAATCCCGATGGGGTCTGTTTTATCGTTTGCCTTGGGTGTCGGGGCATGGTTTTTCTTAGCTGCAGTGGATCACCTGTCAGTGAAACGCCCTCTGGTTAACAGCTTCTAAGGAATCCCACCACGATAGATTTGCCAGGCCCTGAAACCCAGAGCTCAACATCATCGCCATAAGTTCTCAACTTCTGAAGCTTACCTTCTTACTGTGACAATGACAAGAATCCAAGTGTAGGTTTAGGCGGTCTTCTGCACTCCTATAACCTATATAAATTATAGGGACCTTCTGGGGGTGTACCGAGAGGAGGGTAGGAGGCCTGAATACCCGTAATAAAGGACCTGCGATGGCCTCTTAAAAAGTCTAGTCCCCTACTCTCCTCCTCCTTACCTCTCCTAAAGGAGCCCTTTTATAAATCCCTGTAGAAACCCTTAAAGCTTAAAGGAACCTTCAAGGGCCCCTGAAATGCGGCAGTGATTGAGGTGGAGATGAGGGGTGAAGCTCTGAAAGTGTACGCCGCTGTGGCTTCGAATTGCAGGGACTTCGGTGTTTCTACGTTACATGGGTTGTTTCTATGAAGGTTCTATGCGGTTTGGGGGGATGTAGGATCTCAGTGCCCCCGGGGCCTGTACAGCACGGTTGAGTGTGAAGAGGAGGGCTTTCGGGGCGCATTATATAACATCTAAAATCTAAACCAGGGGAGTGCAAAGTGATGCTCTTACTCTTACCAATGGTTCAATCCTCAAGCCTTGCAAAGTTAAAACCCTAAATTCTTTTCGTAACCCTCGTAGTATTAGGTCCTTTACAGCAATCGTTATGGCAGCCCTCACTAACTTATACCCGCTGGGAGTGGCAATTGCAGGTTTTCTCCTTCGGGATTTCAGTTTCAGCTTGAGCCCTAAACCCTAAGCCGCTGCTGTAGGCTAGGAGAACTTTTGGTCACAGGTTCGTGGTGATAGGAGTAGGTGTGAGTGTACGGTGTTTTGCGGCTGTAGGGTCTGGGGCTCCTTTTGGTTTGGGAAACTTCCAAGCAGGTCGTGTGTACTACCGTCTATTGTGCGTGGGAGACAGGGTTTCGGTGTGTGACGGCTCGGGGAAGGGTTCAGTTCAGGATGTATGAGAGTTTGGCGTTGAATTCTTAGAGGTTTGGGGTTTTTTTGAGATAAAGTCTTCGGGATGAGATAAGAGGTATGGCCTGTGGGAGAGTTTGGAGCCGATAGCTGGCATCCTGACGCCCAGAATCCACGAAAATTTCTGAAACGCTGCAGGCCCTGGAACCTGTGTACTGGTACGGCATTCGTTTGGAGTGAGTAGCCTGGATAAAGTAGCCTGGATAAAAGCCCATACCCCTAAGCCAAAATGCTCAAAATCCCAAATCCTAATCCCGAAACCCGGAAGACAATGTAGCCAAGCCAAGGACCTCAAGCGACGTTTAGGCCTGCCGGGAAGGCGCTTGCGTGCCTACTGCAATGCCCCTGTGCTACCATGAAAGAAGGGTTTTGAAATCTAATAGACTTTGTCATAGTTGGGTAGCATTTCACATGTTTCTGGGTACTTACACCCAACGAGGCACAAATTCAAACTTTCAATACTATCCCAACCATGAACTAGTTTAGGGCTATGGGGTGTCCACGGTGTAAGGTCTGGAACCATGGAGGAAGTGCCTCGGGGTCTAATTCAAATCCAGGGCTATGGGGTATCCAGAATGTAGCGTATGGTACCACGGAAGAAAGACTTCGGGGTTCGAGGTTTAGGGCTGTGGGCTATTTGGAGTGTAGGGTTTAGCCTCTCGGGTTTTGGAATCACTGGCTTGTTATCCGTAGTTGGCGATTTCGGTTTTTGGTGCATGAAAAATTCGCAGATGTGGCTTGAAGTATGTTTAATTAGGGTTTCAGGCTTCAGCGTTTTAAGGGCTGAGGGAGGCATCGGGTTGACTTTGAATTTCAGAAAGACGCTAGGACGCGAGGTGGCGACATGGGCGGTTGGTAGAAGCATGCATGAGTTCTATGGGTGGAGGTTTTCCTGTAAGGAAAACACCATAGACATCACAGCTTCGGATGCATGCTAATGCTAATGAAACCCAACACGATCAGGTCAGCATTTTCCATGCGGCCTTTCATGATGGCAAGATGGGCGGCAAGAAGAGGCACCTGGCATCGAAAGGTTTTGTTTTCTGAGTTTTCGGGCTTATATAAGGGAGGTTCCAAAAATTAGGGGTACCTTAGGGGGTCCTTATAATAAGGATCCTACAACTTAGGGTACTGTATTAGGGTCCCCTATTTTCGGAAACCCACATAAAACTCATAAGCCCTACAGGGTTTAGATCCTTCGGCATTTTTTTGTCCCTCTGTTTTTTGGACAGTGTTGGATGTGCTGCAACCGAGACCCAAAACCACGGACCCTCAACCTGAATCCTTAACCATGGGAAAGACCGAGGCGCCAGTGCGCTAAACTCTAGACCTCAAATAGCGGGTCTTAGGGGTTTAGCTGGGGTGTCTTATCCTGCGCATGAAATAATCCCGGGTATCCCAAGCCCTTAACCACGAAAAGCAACAAGCGCATCGATTAGTTTTTCCCCTCCAGGGAACCCTAAACCCTAAACCGGAGCACTGGAGGATCTTGGCCAATCCTGACGACTGCTGCCCGAAGCTGCTGGCCATCGCTGAGGCTTGTATTTGGAGCCCTTTTCAGCCCGAGGATGAAGCGCAGGATTGCCCCATTTTTTGCCAAAGGCCCTAAGCCCAAAAGCCACAGACCGTAAATCCTTCCCCCCCAAACCCTGACAGGAACCAACATCATTTTCGGACCCTGTGACTGAAACCTTGCTCGGCTCGTACCCCTATGCAGTCTGTTTCGGGACTGGTATGGCAGCAACACTTGGTGGCAATAAGCACAAAGATGCAACAACATGAAGTGGATGCCGGGAATCGAACAGCAGGCCGTCGCTTCCTCGCCACTGAAAGCTGTGATCATGATTGCCAGAACATCTGGCTACACGGTCCCTGGGCTTTGTTCTCCAAGTTTTGACTTTCTGAAACTGCATGGGGTTATATCAACAGATTCTGGAGGGAGAGTTATATATATATATATGTGTATACTATGTATATTGTGACTGAATAGGGCCCCTGGGCTTCAAGGAATCTAGGCCTTTTCTTTAACACCACGATGCCTGTCGCCAGCCCAGCTTTATCATTAAACACACGGAATTCCGAAACATATAAGCGCAAAACCGAAAGATGAACCCAAAAGGACTCTCTCTTTCGAAAGCCCTGAATCATCCTAAATCCGAAAGCCAATAAGCTGCCCGCAGCTGAGGTCATGCTGGAGCTGATGCTTGGAACTGCACTGAAATGGGTTCAGGGCGAGTGAGTTTAGGGTAGAGGACTTTAGGGTTACGTGAAACTCCACGCGGATGGGGGCTTGTGGGTTTTTTATGCACACCTTAGCTTGGCAATATAGGGGTCGAGATACTTGCTGAATTTGTTTAGCCTTTAGGGCAGGACGCAGGGTTAAGTTGGAACATCATCCTGATTGGAGGCTCGCAAGCCCCAAACTTGACTTCACCACCCGTCTCATACCCCCAGCTCGTCTCCCCTAGACCCAAAGCTTGTAAAGCCCTGCAGGAATTAAAACAGCTTCATAAATCCTGTATGACCTATAAGGCCTTATTGTACTGCTGGAAACACCGTCTTTGAAAACCTAAACCCTAAAGCCCCCAGTTTGATAAAGCCAGATCAACTTTCTAAGTCCTTCTCTCCTATCACCGAGGATGAAACACATCGCGGCCAAGGCGGAACCGCCATTTAGCGTGGCGACGATCAACGAGCTCTCGGTCACGTGTCTACTAGTGGGGTCTTAATGGTTTGAAAGGGCTTTTGGCGTATGCTCTGCTACGTTATAGGGCTTTGCAGGGAACTTACTCGTATTGAGACCCCTAATCATGTCGGATTATTTCGGGACCCCCTGTGTATACATACTAGTTGGCGAACGGCGGACGGACATTTCCTTACACGCTCGATTGTTAGCATGTGGATGTGTGGGTGTGTCTCTCGGCTCCATCTGCATGACAACAGAACCCTTCGTCTCATTGTCCTTTCTGCATCCCGCGTTTCTTTTTCTATCTATGTATGTATGTACAATGCCTGCGTGTATCGTCATCTATCTGTCTGTCGATCTGTCCGTTTGCAAGATTGCTTGTCTGTCTATATATATATATATATATGTGTATAGATATACACATCAATCTATCCATCTCTCTCTCTCTTTCTCTCCCTCTCTTGCTTTCAGTCTTTCTTTGTCTCTCTTGTGTCTGTCTCTGTGGTGTAGGCAGTGTAGGCTTGACATGACCGGGAGGTAGGATTCGAATTTGGCACATGGCGAGTCTGTGGGCGAATACAGCAATACTTTGGGGGCTGCAATAATTACCTTACTATTATGGGGGGGTTCCTTATTATAAAGATAGGTCTCCCTCTAGAGGTGACCGAAGTGGTTTGCACAGGTGTTTTCAGGCTTGACCATGTTTTTTTGTCTCGTGCTCCTCACCCGCACGGTCCGAAGAAGCCAAAACTTGCTTAGGCAATGTGGGCGTGCTTACCAAGAACTGTGGGTTATGATGTGCGGTCGTGTTTGATTATTCGGGTTTTGGACCATTGGCAACTTAGTTAGGGTTTGTCCCGCAATCCTTGCCCTGCAAACCCTGAACCCGGAAAACTCCAAGCATCAAACCTAAACTCCTGAAGCCGCAAACCCAAAAGCCCCGAAGCACCTAACATGACTTCTATGAGCTCTTCAGGAATTCAACCACTGCTCCAACCTGCGTGGTGAAGTCTTCAGGGTTCTCGTGGCGGACTCCA